CACTCTGCACACCTCACCATATTAAGTACTAACTTACTACTCCTATGGAATACAAATACATATTTTAGTTAGTTTTTTTCAGGTTTATCTCACAATGTTCTATTGAAACAATGCTGTCCATCTTACATGAGTATATTATATTAGTCTTCAGGAGTATAGTGCAGAGTTGGTTTCTTGGCTGATGCTGCACTTGTTGCTTTGAGCTGCCTTTTATAAAGCAAAGGTTCCAAATCAACCCCTTGAAATCCTGTGGTTTGAAAAGGAACAATGATAAAGTATTGAGCAGAAACCCGCAAGAGCCAATTATAGCAAGACTTGAAAACATCGAATGAGCGGAAGAAAAACATGGAAACCAGAAATATAACTTGTGTCTCCTGAGCCAGGTGTGCATGAAGAACATTCAGTAGCGTGTAAATGCATCTTTCATTTAGACAACAACACAATGATAAGCCTCCATGTACATTTTTTTCTGAAGTTATGTTTTACCCAAGACCACATGCCTGCCGTTGAAGCAGATTTGTGGAATTGCCCTAGATGCTAAACAGTTGTACGACAACTTCTGTGACGTAAGGCCCTAAATACTTTTTCCCATTGACTTACATTGGAACAGAGATGTCTGTAAATCAGCAAGAGCTCAGCAATAAGGTAAATAAACTACCCAGCACGAATACGGGAACACACACACTTTGTGTTTATACTGAACGTTTCAGAGGGTTGATTCAAGGGAATCACAGGAATGTGATCAAAGCATGGATGTATAAAGACAACTGGATATAGAGTCTGATGCAGGGCACCAGCCATTCCCTGTGAGAGCTACTCAGTGGCGGATGAAGCCCAGAAAGGAGCGACTGTAGATTCAGAAACTATCCACTCCATCCGGCGCCTTTTGCTTATAAAGCATGCACACATGAGTTTGTTCATTATTTAACCCTTGTGTGGTGTTCGGGTCAAATTGACCCGATTTCCATTTTCAATGAATAAAAAAAAAAACAAGGATATTTTTGTTCAACCTGAAACTCAATGGCCGGGGCTTATTTATTGTGAAGGACATGTGGAATTGTTTTTATTTTTTTCCACTTATGAAAAAATGCCCATCCGCATTTATGTCCTTCATAAGAGGTTCGGGTCAATCTGACGAAATATGATGAATTGGAAATGGGGGACCCTGATGTAAACAAGACGAAAGTCTTTCTCTGCATTCCCTTAACAATTGTATGTTTTGAGCTGTACTGTACTGTACTGTACCCAATATACAAGCTGTTAATAAACTTATCAATCAATCAATCAATCAATCAATCAATCAATACAATACCAGGACAGACAGACAGAGAAAAACACACGAACTAAAGACACACACACACAATTGTATGCATAGAGAAGCTGTCTGATCCTGTTTTCCCTTGATATTTACCCTTTGTAGTGTGTGTACACACAACTATCCTAGAACATTATAAACATTTTAGATCTTCCAGAAATGTATAAACATTTTACATTTTCTCGCACTGTCCCCCCTCGCACCTGCACGCCGGAGGAGGGACTAAACAGAGACATAACCTCAGTGTAGTAACGGTGTAGTGCAGAACTACAATTATCTACCAACAAAATGGCTAAAATATATTCTGCTCAAAGAGCCTTGGAGCTAATAATGGATGAGAGTGAGTGGAATGCATTAGAGGAACACGGTGAAGTGGAACAGGAAGACATTTCTGAAGATGAAGATAATGTGGAGGTAAACTCAGAATTTGACAGCAAATTGGAAGATGAACTTGACTCAGAGCCAGCTGCTGGAAGACCCCCACAGCCAGCCGCTCAAGGACCCCCACAGCCAGCCGCAAAAAGACCCCCACAGTCAGCTTCTGGAAGACCCCCACAGCCAGCTGTGAGGTCTGTGGACCCTCAAAGGACTCCAAGACACAGACTACATGCAGAAACTGCAACAAGTACATCTGTGCTGTACACACAAAGAAGTTCTGTACATCATGTGTTTCCTAAACGGACTTGCCCATTGACTCACATGATGTTCTGCAGCGTCACTTCATCAATATATTTTTTCGGATTTACTGTATTTTATGAATAGTGACTGTTAATTGTTTTTATTTGCTTTGTGTTTATATCTGTTTTATGTAATTTATATGGATGTTTCATTCCCTCTATATTTCACAGCCAAATACTTTTGGATGTGGTTCTTGAGTTCCAATTGCTGATAAATTGCTTTATTTCCTTCAGGGCTTTGATTATTATATGACAGATTAAAAATAATAAACATTAATGAAAAAATGTTTCATTTACATTAGTCCTAGAAAAGCATGAGCAACATGTAAACTTAGTTTTTATTACAGTGTATTTTTTTTTAACATAAATTACATTTTTATCACAAAAAACGATGGACACTTCCATTGTTAAATTTGATCTAGCAAAGAGTATTTTCAAAAACTAATCATATATTTCATTTATATTGTTGGGGAATGAGTTAAAGACAATATATATAAGGAATTGTGCATGTTGAATTTAGTTCTGTATTTTTTTTAAAACCCTCAAATATGTCCCGGGTCAATTTGACCCGAACATTACCAAAGGGTGCGAAATGTGAACATAACACAAGGGTTAATTACAATTGTACAAATCGGGTACATTTGCAGTTATGTCTGTCGTCTCCCATGTTTATAAAAGGAACCTTTTCGTGTCCTGATTAGAGGAACCAGGGTCTACATTAAGTCCCCCTAACCTAAGATGGTTCAGGGGGTTTAGTTCTGATACATCTTTCAGGACAGGGCTTCGTGGCTGTTTATTGCTACATGTTCTTTTAATGTGAAGCTCTGTAGTTTATTTCTATTGTTCTATCCTCCCCTGTAGTGTTACTGAATTATACCATTTCTTAGATTCAGGTTTAAATATATATTACTTTATTAGTGAAAATACCTAAAAACAAAGAAAATTGATTGATGTTATTTGATTAATTTCGGTTAGATGTAAACCATCTTTCTTACATTTTTTGGACAGTGAGCTGATTATTTATTAAATGCCGTAGTGCATTTTATATGAAAGACCACATAAATGTCCAATATGTGGAGCTTTTGGACGAGATGATGAAACGTTCAGCCTTTTCTCTAAGGGCGGGCATCTCCAACTACTCCAACCAATTTGAGTCCTCTCAAGAGCATTTTCCTTCACAGAGGAGCCTTGTAATGTAAAAGAATGAAAGCACTCGGATCATGACATTGATACACTGCATTAGATTTGAATTCATACTACTTATAATGTTGTCAGAAGTTACCTTGAAGCTACACCTTGCTAAAGTATGTGTATTGTAAATGTTCCTGCAAAATGAGACAGTGTGGAAAATAACTTGAAGGTCAGCGACATTTAATCCATTGAATCTCATTTTTAGGGCACCAAACACAAAACAGGCCTGGGATTTAGAGTGTTATTGGCTCTGACAAACACACATAATGCCATGCACTCCTTGAATGGTTTTCATGTGCCAGATGTGCCTGCATGTTTTTTATTCACATTTGGTATTTAGTCATGGCGTGGACTGTGAGCTTTCATTTCCTCTGTGAGACTGTAAATAAGCCCAGCATCCTCTGGGAGTGACTACATAAAACACTCTGTGGTTAGCAGCAGACCTCAGTGCCTGCCAGAGGCATAGCTAAACCATGGGCGCTTCACTTCCATGAGGTAAAGGCAATATCCTAGATATCTCTGTTTATCTAGCAGAACAACACACCATCAAAAACACACACCTATAACACAAAGGTATACAAACCAAATGTCTGAGTCACTGCTTTGAAAAACAAATGTAAAGGAAGATGGGTAGTAGGGACATATTTGTTTTTTTCCTGAAGATAATCCTTGAGACAAAAGATTAATTACAAACATTGTATTTCCTTAAAATCAACGTATTCTTACATTGTTTTTTTATTTAGTGATTGAGAATGACATACATTTCCTTTTATTTACCAAACCATCAAGAGAGATTTATTTTTTACCCTTATACATTCTGCACTCTTTGAAGTGATCTCATATTTCTGATCGTCTCTCGGGTTTTAATTTGTGTGTGTGTGTGTGTGTGTGTGTGTGTGTGTGTGTGTGTGTGTGTGCGTGCGTGCGTGCGTGCGTGCGTGCGTGCGTGTGTGTGTGTGTGGCTTGAATTCCCTTTTAAATATGCCTTTTCTCTAGAGGTCCCAGCCCCTTGTGATGTGAATGTGACCCGCATGACTAATTCCATTTAAAGGGGAATAACATGCATTAGGGCTCTCACTTTTCTGCCTTGCATTTGCATAATTTTGTTTGGCAACTTGGAAAAGAGCCATTAACAGCACTAAGACGCACACTTTAAAGGATGGGGCCGGAGTCAGATCAATACTTTATTTCAACATCTTCAGCAACGTCGGGGTCCAGATCAAGAGGCATTCACTAATTCAAATGCGTGCACGTTACTGTGATGCTCCCATTAGTTCCTGATAAGAAAACACCGCTGCACTGCCTCTCTTAATCTCTGACAGACACATTCCCTCGATCAATAGTCTTCTACTTTTTTGTTGCAAAGACAAGATTGATTGCCAGCAGTCCCTTGTGCTCGATTCCACTTCTCGCGCCCCTCTTTATTGTTTCAATTAGGCATTCTCTAGAGACCTTATAGGGGGTGGCTTTTAAAATGTGCGAACTCCCTGCACGTCAAACACCGGATGTCCAGCAGCACAACCTTTGACACCAACTTTATTCAGGTCAAGAAGTGGAAGCGCGTCCAAACAAGTGGATTATGCAGGAGGCGGGGGGGGGGGGGGGAGGCGGGGGGGGGGGATGACCGGGGGAAGTTACGACTCGCGCCAGTGAGGAGGAAATAATCACAATGTTACCTTCTCATGAATTATTAAGTACCCTTTGCCTATTTTAGTCCGACTGAAAACGCTGCATTTTCATCTATGGGTCTTGCGGTGTGCAAGGGTGTTTTTTTTTTATTTGACAGCTGTATTACTGCTGATAAGCAAGACTGTGTGAGCTGATCAAGTAGTGAGACAAGCAGTCAGAGCAGTAGCAGCACAGCAGCAGCAGCAGCAGCAGCATCAGCGCTCGAGTCACTAGGAGCCGCCGCGGCAGAAGCAGCAGCACTATCAGACACAGCAGAGGCAGCAGCAGCAGCAGCAGCAGCAGCAGCAAACTCTCTCCTCTCTTTTCCTCTTCTTTCTGGAGTTGCTCCCTGCTCAGAGGAAAAAAGCCCAGGAAGTAGGAGGGAAGTGGTTTAGGGCTGAAAGCTGCCATCAAAAACAAAACCCTAAACGCAGACCTGGCTGCCCCCATGCCTATCGAATTTGTTTGCAAAATCAAATTTGCAGAGGAGGATGAGAAGCAGAAAAACAAGCAGGATGGGGACAAGGAAAGCCTGATCGAGGAGAGCTGCACACCTCCGGTTAAGGACTTGGCTGGGTTTGCCAACTCCAGCTCTCTCCATGGGATTAATCACATCTTTGTCTCTGGTCGCCTGGGCATCCGGCAGACTCTCTGGGCTCTCGCCTTTTTGACTTCCCTGGCGCTTTTTCTATACCACGCAGCCAAGTGTGCCATCTCTTACCTGGAGCACCCTCACATCACATCTCTGAATGAAGAAGCGACCCCGGAGATGGTTTTCCCCGCCGTGACCATCTGCAACATCAACCGCTTCCGCTTCTCCGCACTCTCTGACGCCGACATCTACCACCTGGCTAACTTGACGGGGCTGCCTCCTAAAAACAAGGATGGCCACAAACCCCATGATTTAATGTATCCTGCCCCTGACATGCAGGACATCTTCAACAGGACAGGACATCAGTTAGATGAGATGCTCAAGAGCTGCAACTTCAGTGGACAGAACTGCTCTGCGGAGGACTTCTCTGTGGTGAGTGAAAAAGTTTCTCAAAGTTAAGCCTATGCCAGACTCTTATCATATTAAAGACTTCATCACCATTTATTGGTTTCATCAAAACTTTTTGTAATAAATAAGTAAAGTAAAATACACATCTATACATTCTGGGGAATCGTACAAATGTAACTTTACTAGACTTCTCTTGTTCATACAAAACTACCAATAAACATGAAGGCAAAATGAATACTTGAAGGCGAGAGGAATTTAAATTCTCTTTGTGCGTGCGCTCCTCTCCAGGGGCCATGTGGTTCCCACGATACATTTCTGCATGCAAGATTCATCACTTTAGCTCAGTTATGGAGCTGTGTTTCTTCTGACTAAGTTCCAGGCAGCAACAGTGCTTCTCTCCAGCCGTGTGTTTGAGCCTGTTCCGTCAAAAGAACAAAGGCTGCTCCCGGAGAAGAGAAACGGAGAGCTGTCGTATGTGGATGTATACTTTTCCAAGGCAAACTGTGCCTTAATGCTGCCTCCAACTCCGGTAGCTGGGAGTGCGTGGCAACAAAATAGTAATGGAAAAAAACGGGTCCCTTCATCCCCGCCTTTCCATCTCCCCCTGTCGCTACCACTCTCTCTTTCTGACATTGCAGAGCAGCTGCCTCGCCCCCCCTCTCTCTCTCTCTCTCTCTCTCTCTCTCTCTCTCTCTCTCTCTCTCTATCTCTCTCTCTCTCTCTCTCTCTATCTCTCTCTCTCTCTCTCTCTCTCTCTCTCTCTCTCTCTCTCTCTGCTCTCTCTCTCTCTCTCTCTCTCTTGTACCTTTCAGGGTGGAAGGAGTAATGCTTCTTCAACGTTGTATTTCAATCTTGCTGCTGTTAGGATTAAATATTTAAAGACAGACATACATGATTTTTGCATTAGCAAGATTGACTAAAAGGAATAAAACAATTTCCGTGTGTGAGATGGAGAGAGAGGAAGAAAGGGGGGGCGGGGGGGTCAGGTGAAAGAGGGAGAGTTTGTGCCTGTGTTCTGTGCACTATTTATTAAAGGCACTGTCCTTGCAGGAGATGGATTTCCCCATCTCTCCTGCAGGAAAAGGAATATGCAATTGCTTTAGTGATGATAAAGTGCGGGTGTCAAGTCTTAATAGGGTATGTTGAACATTGATTCGCTCACCTTCCTGAGACCTTAAGATTCTGTCTTATCACAGGGGTGCCAAATGACACCAAAGAAATAATAACATTATTCTCATTTGGTCTCTCTAACAGCGTATTTATTTTTTCCTTCTTGTCTTTACGGCAGCCCTTCACATGGAGACGCAAAATTTCCTGTGATGTAACAACATGATTTCTCATTTGGTCTATCAGACAAAAGAAAATGTCACCTCGGAGGAGCTACAAAGTTTGACTAAATTCAGTCTGAACAACGACATGGCTCTAAAAGTTTAAAATGTGCTTGTAGCACGTTTGACGGCGATGTCGTCTGACACTTTGGCGCTCATTCCTCCCAGAGTACATTAATTAGCAGACAATTCTCACATCCAGGAAATGTCTGGCCCCTGTCAGTCTGTGATGCGACGTGCAACTCTCTTTGGACACTGGGTGACTTCCTCACAGATTAAGATCCTGTTGAAAGTTCCCAAGCTGCAGTTTTCTCTCTGTCGGCTATGTGATCTACATTTCTCGGGGACTGTCAGTTAGATTTGTTTCAGGCTACTTGCTGCCTCCACGCATGACAAATCACTTAGTCCGAGTCCTGGTGGAGAACAAAACTGGGAGTGCATGGGGAGAAATGTCTGGGATCCGTGGGATTGAGCAGGAAAGCAGAATCTAAAATAACAAAGTCACACGCATTGCTCGTGTTAGTGTGTATTTTACGTCTACAAATCGGCCATCATTTGTTGCAGCGAGGAAAGCCATTATTACAGGTGGTGTGCCATTAATCAAATGCAAGAACAGAGCCACATGCACGCACATATTAAAGTCTCCCACACGCATCGGTCGTTATGTGTCCTCTCACGGGGCCCTCCTTCTGGAATCGGCTTATTGTAATTTTTTTTTTGTCCGATTGATCATTCTCGCAGCTCCAGATGTTTCATTTCGGCAATAACTACTTGGATAGGGGTCTCTCGGGAAAATTGCATGATGAATTATAATTAAAATATTTTCTGACATTTAAGCTTCTACTGTAAAGAGACTAGTGTAGTGGAATAGTCTTTTATTCCCCAATAATTTAAAGTAAGCGCCTAGAATTTAGTTTATCGTAAATGCAAAACTTACTGTCCCAAATGTGTGCTCTAAAATACTTGAACATTAAAAAACATCCATGGTATGAATATTTTTCCCTCCATTTCAGGTTATTAGTTTATTGCAGAAAATCATTAATTGGCTTCTATATATATATATATAAATAAATACAAGTCTCAGGGCGCGAACAGAATTGTCTTGCTGCTCTAATTTATGACAAGAAAATACATAATCACATAGCAGAGGAATTTGTTTTCCCCTTCCCAGCATTGTGGACCGGCGTGATTATTTGACGTATGTAATAAGGCCATTCTTTATAATTAAAGATTACATTATTGACTTGGATTAATCACAGAAGATAAAGCTGATTCAACAAGCCATGAATAAATAGATTATTTCTCTTCCAGTCTAACTCTGAATAATTGTTCATCTATTGTGTTGTGCTGTCGCAGGGATGAGCAGCGAGCCCTTTGGCTTTTTTTAAACACAGCTCTGAATTGGTTTGCTCTGACGTTCAGCTGTGTTTGCTGCTGCATTATCAGATTTTGCTCTCAGCAAGGACAGATTCCTTCTGCATATATTCATGGGGATAACTAAACAGCTATAAGGGTGGCATCCGAGGTGAGCTATACAATCCTGGGTTAACGGGACAGCGCTGAGGAGCACTCAACCTGCAATCTGTCATTACACTGACGGAAGCCCCTATTGTGTGTTTATAGATAATTGAAAGTTTAATAGTCAAAGCCATAGATGATGATCACCACCCTCCCCCCCTCGTTTGTCCTATCCTTCACACTGGGATGAAATCTTAAACCACATACATGTAAATCAATACTGTGAACAAATGGCACACAAGAGACATCATTGTGAGTTGATCTCAATAAGTGCACTGCCCTTGTGTGGTTGATTAGAAAAAAAGAAAAGCGCAAAGGAACATATTTGCAGCCTGATTAGGAAAATTAATAGAAAAGCTGTGGCCACAATTGCGCTTAAACCTAGAATAATGAGTATGAGGAGAGCAGCGCAGTGTGGTGTGTGTGAATCATGTCTACCTGCAATGTACATTTTTGGACTTTGAGGTGCAATTATGAAGAGATAAATCACTAAATGTAAAACATGTCTGGTACAACCCCATATTTTTATTGCACAACAAGTTTTAACATTTTCCTCCGGTGCTGAAGGTCACACCACTTGTCGTTCCGCTCCTCGGTGTGTGGTTTCAGAGCATCTGTGGATAGATACTTGAGTTTGATTGCCCCCGTAACCACAAAAAGAACATCCTGTTGGTGTTGCATCCTGCTCCAAAGCCTGGGGATCATTCTCAGTTCCATATATGTGTTTGTGCTTCTGTGTGAAAATGTGCTCTCTACTGTGAGATTGACACACACTTCCCGGCTGGGTCTAACATCTGCACACACCCCTTAACTTAGTACACCCACGCAGATGCTCACCTAGCTTCCCGCCTTCCCCCTGGTGGAGAGCGAGGAGTGGGAGCGTGAAAGTGACCCGCTATCTCGACCGACTCCGGCTCCAACAGCCTGTCAATTAGCCGTCTACAGTTCCGCCGCTGTGGGTGTCCCCGCAGCTTAGCATGCTGTGTGATATCAGATCCACACACCCAACCTTGGAGGCCGTCATTACATCCCCACAACCCAAAAAACAAATACACACTCTTTTTCAATTTATTTTCTCTCAAAATGCAAAAACAAATAAATGAAAATTGATCCAATATGTTTGGAAGCTAAAAAGAGGATCCTGCTTTTTCAACCCACCATATTCCCGCTGCACTCCTCCTCCTCCTCCTCCTCCTCCTCCTCCTCCTCCTCCTCCTCCTCCTCCTCCTCCTCCTCCTCCTCCTCCTCCTCCTCCTCTCAGAGGAAGATAAATTACGGTGCAATTGGTCGGCTGCACCTCCTGATATGCATCACCACTGTCTAATCAGATGAAACCCACCTGTGACCAGTCACTGGATAACACCAATATGCAAACAGTTTATATTTGGGGAGATTTACCTCTTCGATCACTTCCTGGCCTGGTTTTAAAAGCCCACGGTTTGGAGCGCTCGGTTTGATGGGGGAGAGAAATCTCCGGCTCAGGGATGGCTTTTAACTCGACGATAAAGGCTTCTGATGTTGTGGTACCTCTAAACCCCTCCCCCCTCCTCTAACCCCTGGGAGTCTTTTACTCACACAGACATTTGTCTCGTTCTAACATGTCATGCACCGAGCTGTTGGGAGTGTTAATGTGGCTTCACAGACACACACACACACACACACACACACACACACACACACACACACACACACACACACACACACACACACACACACACACACACACACACACACACACACACACACACACACACACACACACACACACACACACAAACATGTGTATTTAGAGTGCAGATAGAACACTTCCCTGTTCAACACACGCAGGTTTCATCACGGATTGAGAGAGTGGGCTCGTAAGATTGATCATGACTCCTGACTGTGCGCCCCTCCCTCTCTGCAGGATCAATACATCCTTCAGTCAGATTGCTTCCCTGCCCTTCCTACTCCAAGCTCGGTGTGACTAATTATCTTGTGCCTGTGTTTTGGGCCAAGTCTCAGCTGCATTTGTTAATGCTGTGAGTTGGGGGAAGAATTTGATCTTTGGAACAAGATATCTGTTTGTTTTAGCTTATATCCAGCCCAAATCAATCAATACAAAAAAACTGTCTGTCTTTTTTTCTAAAGGGCGCAGAAATTATCGAGCAACACGAGATGACTCACAGCTTTTTTTGATTG